TTAGAGATCTCTATGAGAAAGGTAGGAGATAGGTCATTGGGTCCCTCGTTCTCTCCCTAGCATCACCTATCTTGTGGGTGGATCATGAACCCTTGTCTCTCTTGATTTCATTGCTTGAGCAACAGTCTTACAATGTACCAAACATTTGAAAATTTTCAATCCACATCAAAATATAAAAGATTTATTAAATTATTAAATATGAAATAAAAAATTTAAGATTTTATTAATCATAGAATTATATTTTATATATAATACACCGAACAATTTTTAAAATTTTTTATTCACACTAAGATTTAAATTTAAATTTAAACAAAAAAATCATATATTTTATATTTTCAAACATAAAATTTAAAAAGATGGTACTCTCATTAGTATTTCTTTGTTTTTCTTAACTATTTTCATCCAAAAATAATGATAAAAGTATTTTTGAATTTTTTTAAAATATTTAAAAGTATTTATGAGATTTTGTTAAAAGTTTAAAGAGGGTAATTAAAACTTTCTTTTTTTAACCAAATATTTATTAATTTTAGATGAGTGGAGTATAGACCTAAAATGTTAAAAGAAATTTGAATCTTGACTAATTTTCTTTGATTTGAAGGGTTTGAGATGAGAGAGAAATTTGGGAAGAGGGTTAGAAGTAACCACAAGATGGGAGAGGTGAAAGTCAAATGTGGAGAGATTAGTTCATCGCTGCATATAAGACACTAGTTTCAAAGTGAGAAATAAAGTCACAAAGAGACAGAAACGGTGAGATTAGAAAGAATAAGGAGATGAAACCAAAGACTCGGAGGGGAGGGGTGTGTACCCTCCCCCTTCTTCTACCTCTATCCTCTGTTGTTCTCTGTCCTTCTACCGAATATCATCACAAAAAGTGGAGCCTTGTTCATTTTACCCATTCAAAAATTGGCATAATCTATATTGCCTCTCAAGCATTTCTACTATTCAGTGTACCACCAAGTATACTTAGTTGAAATTCAAATTCCCCACAACTTCCTACTTTGTCTATGCCATTTAGGTGTTTGATGAATGTCCCCCTCTATGTTTTTACTCCTGTGTTGTCCATTCAACTACATCTTTTGCCTCTTTCTTGTTTCATGTTTCAATCCCTTTTGGAAGCTCTCAAATGTAAGATCTCACTTCATTTTTTTTAATGTCTTTGGAGATTTTTTATTATTATTATTATTCACTCTTTGTTTCTTTTAAAACATCTATTTTTGTAAAATTACTTCAAATTATGAATATAAATTTCAATTCCAACTAAAGACTATTTCAACTCTAGGCTACTTATATCTATTTAGCAATTGTCACATTCTTGTGTATGTGTCTCTGCATGTTAAGCTTTTAGCTTTGTTTATGCTCTTTTTAGGGTCTTCATTTCTCTTCCCCAAAATTTGCTCCAGCTTCTCTCAAATCTAGAAGTTTAATCTTCTTCTCTTGCAGCTTCTCTCAAATCTAGAAGTTTAATCTTCTTCTTTCAGACTCTATGTGGGACGGATGGATCATTGGGTCCGTGATTCTCTCCCTAGTTTTGCCAAAAATCTTGTGGTGGATTATGAACCCTTGTCTCTCAAGTACTTGACTTCATTACTTAAGCAACAGTCTTACAATGGTACATAGCATCACAATATTTCGATCAATCTCTTTCACCATCCTAATTTTAATTTTTTAAACATTGGTCTAAAGCTAATCTTTTACTTCTTTTTGTATCGAATAACATGTTGCAATCTATAAGTGTACTCCATGCATTTTAGTGGCAGTTGTAAGTTCCGGTTTGAGTTTATGAAATTGTTATGTATCCTACTTGTGATTCATCAACTTCTCAAACAGAAAAAAGTTTTTGATTAAAAAAGAAAGGGAAATGTTAACGACGGAGGTAAGTCACTTTTACTCAATTTTTTTTTTTTTCTGAGACTTAGAAATAAATTGTGAGTATATATGAATCCCTTCTTTGTTTAAGTTTGTACTAGACCAATTATCTATCCTTTTTCTCAAAGAAATAAAATTATTAAAATTATTATAACAAAATTAAATAATTAATTACAACATGACTGTCGGGTAATATCAAACCAAAACCACAAATAAATAGACACCCACGCGCCTAATCCAATAAGCCCATGATCCAATAAGCCCAGCCTATATTGGACACCTCACGCCCAAACTCCAGTCCATCAACTTCCCAAATAGTGGCCCAAGCCCATGCACACCTTCATCTATCACAACTATCAGGTGTCGTCGAAGTTTCATGTGGCTCATGTACGGCTTGGATCAGCTCGTGTGACTTGTTGTAGTCATCTAACTTTCAATCATTTCGGTCCAATTATTTCAGCTTGGGTTCAATCAATTTAAGTTTGCTCGTTTGGCTCATTGTAGTCATCTAACTTTCAATCGACTTGATTCAATTGTTTCAATTTTGGTTCAGTCAATTTAAACTTTCTATGTCCGATTTTAATTTATTTTAAAGTGTACATGGACATGATCATTTCCAGTTGTTTCATATAATTTTAGGATATTTTAGATCAAAATAAGTTTTGATCCAGGACTTTTTAAATTATTTTTTCCTATGTTTTTAAGTTAGAAAAATTAGGTGGTTGTAGCCGGATACGATAAATATGTTCTATAATCAATTTCTCGTATCTTTAATTGTTGCAAGGTAAAATTGGATTTGATTAGGCTTAAACTTAAGTGGTGCCCAACAAATGAATTTGTATTTAAAAATACTCATTAAATTTTAAAAGTAGTATTAACACCTTTCACTTTTATAAGAAAATTTTAATTTTTTATTTGCCGTCCATGGTCGGTCCACATTTCATAAATTATCTCCAAATTTAAATAACTCAAGGGTATTTTTGAAAAAAAAAAAAAAACTATTTTCATCCAAATCTAGTCAGAAGAGTTTTTTTTTAAATTTAATTTAAAAGTATTTGAGAGATTTTCTTTAAAAAAAATCTAAAGGTAACATCAAACTTATTTTTTCAAACAAAATACAAAGTTAAAAGAATATTTTTGTTAATTTTAAATGAGTGGAGCTGACATAAAAAGTTAAAAGAGGTTTGAATCTCAGCTAATTTCTTTACACAAAATTAGTTCAAGATTTGAATGGTGTGTAACGAGAGAGAAATCTTGAAATAAGGGCTAAAAGTAACAACAATCGAGATTGGGTGAAAGACAAAAGTGCATGTATTGCAAGTTTCAAAGTAAGAGAGAAAGCCACACAAAAACAGAAAATGGTGAGATTAGAAAAAGAAAGGAGATGAAACGGAGGACTCCCCTCCCCCTTCCTTTACCCTTATCTCTATCCTCTGTTCTCTATCCTCTTAGGCTATCATCACAAAAAGTAGGACCTTGTTCATCTTTACCCATCCAAAAACTGGCATAATTTATACTAATTTCTACTCAGATTCGTGTACCCACAAAGTATTCTCAGTTGAAACTCAAACTCACCCCACAACTTCCTACTTTGTCCTTTGCCCTCTATGGGTTCAATGAATGTCCCCCTCCATGTTTTCGCTCCTCATATTGCAAGGTGTTCCCATTCAACTCCACTTTTTGTGTCCTTGTTTCAATCCCTTTTGGAAGCTCTCAAATTTGAAATCTTACTTTCTCTCTTCTTTTAATGCCTTCTCACGTAGGATTTCTTCTTTTTCATTCACTTATTGTTTCTTTTGAAACACCTAGTCTTGTAAAATTACTTCAAACTGCGGATATAAATTTCACTTAAAATTTCATTTACAACTAGCAATGGGCTACTCTCATTCATTAAGCAATTTCCAGCTTTTCCTGTTTTTTCCTTGATGAAGCCCCGTTTGTTTCACCAAGCACTGTCACTTACTCTCTTCTTCTTCTTCTTCTTCTTCTTCTTCATCTATGTCTTGTGCCTCGAGCATCTAGCTTTGTCTCTTCTCCTTTTTGGGTTGTTCATTCCTCTCCCCAAAATTTTCTCTCCCAGCTTCTCTCAAATCTAAAAGTAAAATCTTCCTCTTTTTGGATCATGAACTATTCGTCTCTCAAACACTTGACTTCGTTTAAGCAACCGTCTTACAATGGTACATAGTTTCACAATAGAGTTTGAGCTAAGTCTAAAACTAACAACAGCCTTACAATAGTACATAGAATCACAATAGAATTTGGGCCTAATCAAAAACTAACTTATAGGGTATTTTTTTTTTCTTTTTTAATTTATGAGAATTTTTAGATTTTCTTAAAAAATGGAAGGGTATTACTTAAAACTTATTAAAACAAAATAAGAAGTTGAAAGAGAAATTTTATTAATTTTAAATGAGTGGAGGATCCAAAATAATAATAATAATAAAATAATAATAATAAAAATAAATAAATAATAAATAATAAAAGAGGTAGGAATCTCTATTAATTTCTTTATATAAAATTACTTAAATGTTTGAATTGTGTGGGATGAGAGAAAGCAGATGAAAGGGAGGAGTGAGGGGAGGATACACACCTGGTATCCTCCCCCTTCCTCCTCGGTTCTTCCTCCTATGGTGATCATCATAAAAGGTTGGACTTTGTTCATCTTTATCCATCTAAAAATTGTCAGTACTCTCATTTCTACTCAGATTCGTGTAGCCACCAAATATTCTCCAACTCAAACTCACCCCACAACTTCCTACTTTGTCATTGCTCTCTACTTGATGAATGTCCCACCTCCCATGTTGTTTTTGCTGGTGGTAATGTAAGGTGTTGCCCATTCATCCCATCTTTTGCCTCTACTAACTTTTGGAAGCTCTCAAATTTAAGGTCTGACTTCCTTCTCTTTTAATGCCTTTCTATTTTAGATTTCTTCTTTTTTATTCCCTCTTTGTTCTCATTTATTTAGCAATTGTCACCTTCTCCTCTTGCTTTTGCTTTGATGAAGCCCCGTTTCACTAAGTACCAAGCACCGTCGTTGACTCTGTGTGTGTCTCCTTCTGTGTTTGTCTCCTTCTCTGCATGCTAAGCTTTTAACTTTGTCTCTGCTCTTTATGGGGTTGTTCATCTCTCTCCTCTGCACTTTTTAGGTTGTTTATCTCTCTCCCAAAATTTGCTCTCTTAGTTTCTCTCAAATCTAGAATTTAATCTCCTCTCTCTCAAACTCTCCAAAGAAATGTTGCAGGAAAGAGGTCATTGGGTCCCTAATTTTCTCCCTAGTTTTGCCAAAAATCTTCATATCTTGGTAGTGGATCATGAAACCTTGTCTCTCAAGCACTTGAGTTCATTGCTTAGGCAACAATCTTACAATGGTACATAGTATCACAATATTTCCATTAATCTCTTTCATCATCCTAATTTTAATTTTTTACGCACGGGCTAAAGTTAATGTTATGCTTCTTTTTGTATCTGGTTACATGTTGCAATCCATAAAAGAAACTCAATGCATTTTAGTGGTAGATGTATGATGGGGTTTGAGTTTATGAAATTGTTATGGATTGTTGTTGTGATCCATCAACAAACTTCTCAAACAGAAGGAAGGAAAAAAAAAATGCTCAATTTCTCCTCTTCTTTAGGAATTAGAAATAAATTTAGAGAATAAAAATATAAGATAGGAATGGATTCCATATTTATGTTTCAATAAGATAAATTATGTGTTTATCTAATCTATTATCTATCTATTCTCTCAAAATATAATTGGTTTGCTGATTCATTTGTGGGACTAGTTACAAACCCTAAACCCTAATATCCTTCGATTTTAAGCTTTTGTTTTTCCTTTTCTATGAACTTAGTGTGCATGACATGATTTTATTTTATTTTTGTAATCTTCAGTTACGACTACTGGACTAGGATGTATTGCTCTATCAATGATTCAGGAAAAAAGTGACCAGTTCGACCTTGTCATGGCTAACGTTAGCATGCCTGATATGGACAGTTTTTCATTCTTGCACGTGCTCCTTGAGATGAATATTGCTGTCATTTGTAAGCTCAATTTTGCTTTACTATCTCATTAAATTAAATGTCTTCATTATTCTCAAGCTATTTAGTTGTCGGGCAGTTATGTCTTCAGCGATGAACTTGAAGGTAGCTACGAAAGCATTGGCAGAAGGAGCGTGTTATTTTCTTCAGAAACCTATTTCTAAGGATGATCTAAAATATGTATGGCAACACATGTATCGGAGAAGCATAAACATAGCCAAGCTAACCCATATAGCAAATTGCGTAGAAAAAGCCAAATCTGGAAAAGAATCTGTCGGTATCCAAAACGACAACACTGTTGTTTTGTCTCGGTTCACCAATGCAGCTAGTTATAATAATAATTGTAGTATTAACTATCAACTAATGAGCTATAATGGAAAAGTGCAAAACACGCCAACGAATTCCCATGATTCCATAGTTGTTTCATACTTCGGAGGAAATAGATCAACGGATGACATAGAAGGAACAAACAAGGAGGAGAGAGTTACATGTTACTCAAAACCTACCAATTTTGGACATACAAGAGCTCATGAGGATAATGGAAGAGGGAAGGAATATTTTATTTCCCGTAATACCATATCATGTATCGTTTGGAATGTGGAACGACGTCTCAAGTTCTTTGACGCCCTCAACAAGCTAGGTGATAAATGTAATGTCACCTATCTGACGAGTTATTTTTATTTTTTTTAGGATTTGATTTCAATGATGCATTTTTAATTGTTGTTATTATGTTTTCTTTTGGTTTTGAAGGTCGCCCAAAACTTATACTTAAGTTGATGAATGAACCATGCTTGACGCTGCGCCAGGTAGCTAATCACCTACAGGTATGCTTCTATCAAGTTTGTTTACTATTTGCACACTATGTACTTTTAGTTATTTATGAATAAATGAGGAATTATTACTCCTAAACCTATTAGAAGTACAAAGCACAAGTAGAGTCCATGAAAAGGGGGAGAAAAAATAAATTAGCTCCATGGATGGAAGCATCCAAATTCAATTTCTCAGTCCGGACTCAACTTCCTCCGTTAGTGCAAAAGCAGTAAAATCATGAGGCAAACAGATCTACACACGGAGGTTCAACCTCTCTTTCAGGAGGGAAAAGATTCCAACTTATTGCTCCTAAGCCTATGCCTAATCCTAAACTGCTTGTTAGCACCAACTTTGTAAATCATGGTCTCAGAATGTTTGACCACAATTTTCAGCATGTTGCTTCAAACTACAATTCAGTTCCATATAGCATCAATAAGACGACTCCAGAGGTAACTTCTTCTCGTGTATTTAATGAAATTCAGTTCTCAGATATACATCAAGCTAATGTAGCTCAGCAGCTAGAAGCAATGGAATTTAATGGCACATCAGAAGGGATTCCGTTGATGTCAAAGAACATTGCTTTACCTGATTCAACCAACTTGGACAATGTTTCTGCAAATTTTGTAAATGAAGAAAGCCAACAACAATTAGCAGAATATGATTATCTCTTAAATGTTTTAGAAGATGATCCACCCGGCTTTGGTAGCGACTTTGATCTGAGTGATATAGATAAATACAGCGAGTGGCTAAGGAACACTGTTTTGGAAAACGGAAGTGGTCTAGATAGCTTTATCAATGACAATGCAGAAAACTTTCGAGTTGAAATCAATCAGTAAAAGGTATGTTTTACTTCTATAATATTCTCAATGTCTTTAAAAATCTTGGATAAACTAAAAGTTAAAGATTTATTCTTAGGTGCAGGTTGAAGAGTCTTAAGAAGCAAGATAAACAGTTTAACCCTCAAATCAAATATATACCAGATCTTCAAAATTGGAGATTCAATCTCTAGAACGAAGACCATATTTCTTTAAAAGTTTCATTAAAAAACAATATATATATATTTATTTATTTATTTATTTATTTATTTACATATTTAAAAAATATCTAATAAAAAGATATATATGCCAAAATATTTTCAAACAATTCAAATATATAAAAAATTATTCTTGAATTCAAAATACTTATAATTATATTTTATTAAAAATTAAGTGAAATAAGTAAACACAATTTATTTCATATTCACAAATAATTTTCAAAGAAATTCATAAAAGATTTGTTATAGATTCTCTAAATTAATAAACACTCAAAAGATTCTTTTGAAATATTTTTGAAAGCACATTTTTTTAATGGTATTTAAAAAAAAAAAAATTAAGAGTATTTTTTGGATTTTCTTAAATTCAAAGGATACTTTTAAAACTTTTTTTTTAAAAAAAATATAAAATTGAAAAAGTATTTTTATTAATTTTAAATTAAATAGAGGTTTGAATTTCGAGCTCATTTATTTAGTTAAAAATTCAAGTGAAATGAGAAAGAAATTTGAAAGGAAGGACACAAGCAAAATTCAAGTGAAAGTCAAAGGTGCAGAGAAATTGTGTGAGATTAGAGAGGAATTTGGGAAAGGAGCAAAAGAATGACAAAACGAGAGAGGTTGGGTTGACTCAGTTCATCACTGCATGTAACTTGTGGAGAAATCTGGAAAAGGGTAGTAAACATGTGAGAGAAATATGGAAAATGGAATCAGAAACAGGTGAGAGTGAAATATGGAAAATGGAAAACTGAAACTGAAACTGAAACACATGAGAGAGAAATATGGAAAACTTAAATACGTGAGAGAGAAATATAGAAAACTGAAATTGAATCAGGTAAGAGAAAAATATGGAAAACGGAAATTGAAACACGTGAGAGAGAAATATGGAAAACGGAAACTTGAGAACAATATAGGAAAGGGGCGAAATCATGAGATAGAGATGGAAAATGAAAACACACGAAAGAGAAATATGAGAAATGAGAAAAAGAGACTGAGGTGAAAGTCAAAGATGGATAGAAAAGGGGCCACAAGTAAGGATCACATAGATTGAGGTGAAAGTCTAAGTTGTAATGTAGTGTAGAGCAGTTCATTCATGCATGTTGCATGTAAGAGAGAAAGCCACAAAAAGAAGGGCGGATGAAAAACAAAAAAAAAAAAAACTGCAATGACGGGAGGGGAGGGTACAAACCAGGGGTACCCTCCCCCTTCTTCTGCCTTTGTTGATACACACCTAGTGGGGTACCATTAGTAGTGGAGGTACCATCTCCCTTCCTCCACCATTGATGATACACACCTAGCGGGGTACCATCCCCTTCTTCCACCTTTGTCTTCGGTTCTCTGTTTTTTTATACAATTATCCATCCTTTTATAGATATGGCGATCATCATAAAAAGTGGACCTTGTTCACTGGCATAATATATGATGTTTTTCATTTCAATTCAAATTCATGTACCCATCGAGTATTTTTTTGCTGAAACTCAAATTCACCCCCGCAATTTCCTATACGTGTTTGATGAATGTCCTCCTCCTTTTTCTTTTAATGTCTTTCCATATCGGATTTCTTCTTTTTCATCGTTTCTTTTGAAGCACCAAATTTTGTAAAATTACATCAAATAGTGGATATAAATTTCAACTCCTTTCAAGACTCCTTCAACTATGGGCTACTCTCATCCAATCTCTAGCTTCTCCTTTTGCTTTTGCCTCGATGAAGCTCTGTTTCACTAAGCACCGTCACTCACGCTCTCCATCTTCTTGCATTTTGAGCTTTTAGCTTTGTCTCTTTTCTTTTTTGGGCTGTTCATCTCTCTCTCCCAAAATTTACTCTCTCGTTTCCTCTCAAACCTAGAAGTTTAAGCTCCCTTCTTACATATTCTCGTGAGAAATGATCTCAAATCTAGAAGTTTAATCTCCCTTCGTATAGATTCTCTATGAGAAATGATCTCAAATCTATAAGTTTAATCTCCCTTCTTTTAGATTGTGGGTGAAAAATGAGAATTCATCTCATATCGAGAAGTTTAACCTCCCCTCTTTCAGATTCTCTGTGAGAAACGAGAAATGCAGGAAATTGGTCATTGGGTGCTGATTCTCTCCCTAGCTTTGCCGGAAATGGGTCATTGGGTGCTGATTCTCTCCCTAGCTTTGCCAAAAATCTTCATATCTCAGTGGTGGATCATGAACCCTTGTTTCTCAAGCACGTGACTTCATTGCTTGAGCAACACTCTTGCAATGGTGAGAGCATCACAATATTTTCATTAATCTCGCCATCATAATTTTAATTTTTTAGGCAAGGATCTAAAGTTAATGTTATGCTTCTTTTTGTATATGATAACATGTGGTAATATGTAAGTGTAGTCTTGAAAGAAACTCAAAGAGGTTTGGTTTATGGAATTGTTATGGATTGTGATGTATTTATTATCTATTTGTTGCAACATTATTATATCAAAGTTTATATATATTTGTTGCAACATTATCACAAGCTATTTTATTACAATGGAGTTATACTGACCTCAGATGGCTGAAACAATGGTGGGAATGGCTCCAAAAGGGTCAATAACCTAGAAATTGGTATACTGTTTGGATGTCGAGCCGTCGAGTCGTGTCGCCAAGCCGCGCTGTCGAGCCGACCTAGCCGAGCCGCCGGTGGAGCCGAAACCGACGGGCTGCGAAGAACCCTAACGGCGTAGGGTTTCTGGGCGCGCCTCTAGTTTGGGCCGAAAAGGAACAAGGCCCAATGGTGGTGTTCGAGCGCGGCCTGCGAGGTGTGGGCTGCACGTTAGTCGAGACGGACCGCGGAATGCTGAGGGTTGACCCGCGCTCACCGCTTCGACTTCCTCGCTCGAACGCCTCAATAGCCCTAATCGCAAGCTTGGCTACTGTCACCTATGGAAGCGTCGTCGTTCATCCATCTCCAGTGGCGCGTCTGTCCCTCCTTGCCCGACATACACTGGCGCCTGATCCTACCTAAAGCTCACGGCGTTATTGATCTCCCAACTCGATCTGAAGTCTCACGACGTTTTAGATCCCTCACCTAAACCCTTCGGCTCCTCCCTCACAGGTATGACAGTGACTAAAAAAGGAAAAGACGGCTACTGCGGTACCTAGGGTTTAATACACATTAATACGCCCAGACAAGGCATGACTCACGAACCAATTATTGAGGCGTTTCCCTTTTCTTTTCTTTTTTTTCTTTTTTTTGAAACCCTTACCGTTACCGAAATAAATTGTGAGCATATATGAATCCCTTCTTTGTTTAAGTTTTTACTAGACCAATTATTTATCATTTTTCTCAAAGAAATAAAATTATTAAAATTATTATAAAAAAATTATTAAAATTATAAGAAATCTTGGAATATGGCTTGTATGGACTAGTGTGGCTTGTTATAGTCATCTAACTTTCGATCATCTCGGTTCAATTATTTCAGCTTGGGTTCAATCAATTTAAGCTTGCCAGTTTGGCTTGTTGTAGTCATCTAACTTTCGATCTACTTGGTTCAATTGTTTCAATTTTGGTTCAGTCAATTTAAACTCATGGTCATGGTCAATTCCAGTTGTTTCATATAACTTTAGGATATTTTAGATCAAAATAAGTTTGATATAGGACTTTTTAAGTTATTTTTTCTATGTTTTTGTTTGTAGCTTTTCTCACTACTTAGAGCTTATTTTAGAGAAAATAGGTGGTTGTAGCATGATAAATATGTTCTATAATCAATTTCAATTATAGGGTAAATTTGGATTTCATTAGGCTTGAACTTAAGTAACGTCCATCAAATGAATTTGTATTTAAAAAATACTGATTAAATTTTAATAGTATTAACACCTCCACCTTTATAAGAAAATTTTAAATTTTTTATTTACCGTGGATTGTGGGTCGACATCTCATAAATTATCTCCAAATTTATAAAACTCAAAGGTATTTTTGAAACATTGAAGGTTTAATGATATTTTTGAAACTTTCTTGAAAATTTAATGGTATTTTAAAAAAAAGAAATTAACTATTTTTCATCCAAAACTAACGGCAAGAGTATATTTTGTTAATTTAAAAGTATTTTCCAAATTTTCTTAAAAAATCAAAAGGTAACAACAAAATTTATTTTTTCAAACAAAATATAAGGTTGAAAGAATATTTTTATTAATTTTATAGAAGTGGTTAAAATGAAGTTTGAACCTCAATTAATTTCTAAAATTACTAGGATGAGAGAGAAATCTTGTAATAAGGACTAGAAGTAACGAAAGATGAGAAAAGATGTGAGAGAAATCTTAGAATAAGGACTAGAAGTAACGACAGCTAGGAGATGAAAGTCAAAAGTGCATATTGTTCATCACTACCTGTATAGCACAAGTTTCAAAGTAAGAGAAAAAGCCACGAAAAAAGATAAAACGATGAGATTAGAAAAAAAAAAGATGAAATGGAGGACTCCCTTTTCCCTTCCTTAATCCCAAAAGAATGGAGATGAAACGGAGGTCTCCGGTTCCCCTTCCTTTACCCCATAGTCCTCTGTTCTTTGTTTTTTGCCCTTCCACCGTTATCTTTGTCCTCTTACCGTTATGGCTATCATCACAAAAAGTAGGACCTTGTTCATCTTTACCTATCCAAAAATTGGCATAATCTATACTAATTT